TATAATACATGCAAAACTTAAATCCAGTATTATATTCCAGAGAGATATTTCAACTATTCTTATTTTTTTTATGATCTTACTGTTATATTTTTTGTGGATAACATCGTGTTTATTTAACAAATATTTTAAGCATCTCCGTCTTTAAAATTAAAATTTCTAAATGCTTCGAACAAAATTAAATTGCAAACTAAGTAAATTTAATACCGCACAAAATAATGAACTAGTTTAAACTGTTTTCTTTATTAAGTTAACAGAAAGCTGTCTGGAGTTTTCATGATTAAAATAGCAGATGCTCTGTTACGTCGCAATTATTTATGGATTACAATCTGCCTTAATTAACCCAGTATAACATGAACAGTTATTAATGCTTGGGTGTTTTTTTTTTAATTATATCTGTCATAAAGTACTGTCATTTAAAAAGTTCTTTACTTAATACTCATAGGAATTTAACGAGGAAATTGTATGGATGCAAATATAAATCATATACATAAAAAAATATAAATATGTAAGTTACTTTATGTAATACATAATTCGTATCAATACAGCACACACCGACACCACTCGCGTTAAATGAAGAGCAGAGATTAATTGCATTTGCTAACAGACTAATTGCATTCGTTAGCGAACTTGAAACGGTTCAGCTCTAGAATTAATGTTGGCAATCAGAAGTTATAAGTTTCCGTTCCGTTCCAGGCACAAATTACTACAATTATTTAATAATGCGTTTAACTTTAATAGGTCATATAAATTAAATATAAATCATTCAAAATAAACATTTGTCTTAAAAAGCAAAGGCAAAGCCAACTTTTAAGTAACCTAAATGCAAAATAATTTTACAAAATGTTTAGAATCTGTATTAAAAAGAACTAAAATATCGCATGTTTATTTTTTATCCTTCTTAATTTTTATAATGAAAACTAATTATGTCTTTACCAAAATATATTAATAGCAAAAAAAACCCGTCGATATTGTGAACATTAAAAAAAAAGAACTTTAATTTCATCTCACTTTTTGTGAGCTTTTTGAATGTTGTGTGTCACCGAGACAGTTCAATTGTTTCTGATTTTTGGAACTGAAATAGCGAGCTTTTCAAAAGCTTTTTTGCGGTTATTTCAGACATAAATCGTGTGTACCCATTTTACATGCATGCAGAATTAGCATACTCAATTAGGTATAACTAAATAATGTGAGCCCTAAGTTAGAGTAGTATTATTACCTTCAAAATTGACATGGATTTTGCAATAAAAAAATGATTAACCCAAAAGGCCCATGTCTAGATTATCGTAAAATACTAGTTTCTTTCGTTATATGCTGAAATCACAGCGAAAGCGGCCCATTAATCTAATTGGATCCCGAATGCGACGCTTTTTTGTCCGCGTGCCGACATCAATGGCGCGATTAACTAATTGCCACAGTATCCTACCTCCTAAAACCAAAACTATAGAGTAATTTCAGCAATCAGGGACGTTGCAATAAACCCAAAGTGCGTGTTACTGAGACTGCAACATAACACGCGACCTAATCACGTCATTGATATTTGTCATACATTTTATGTCACTTTGTGTCATAAAAATTATGAACAATCTTGTGTGGTAGTGAGGTTGGTAGGTTAATTTGACATCTTTTTTGAATTTAAAATTTTTAAAGTTATGTGAACTGCTACGTAATTTTTTTTAAGTTATGGAATACTTTCAATGCTTAAATTTTACCAACTGTATGATTGACTTAATTTTTCATTGCAATACTTTCATCACACAAACTCTTCTTAACTCTTAATGAATTGTAATGGTTTGTGGTACCTTTTTAATAATTGTCACGTTTTAAATAATTTTTGAATATGAAAGCACACTTTGAATGAAAACCAGTTAATGCAGCCATACACCGTCTGCTTTAAACAATTCGGTTCAACCTAAATTTTGTAGCAGCAAAGCAGCTATGGTCCATGTTTGATGGACGACAAACTGTCGGTGCCGACTGCTAATAGAAAACCACACCGACAGTTTCCTGACTTTTAAATTATTTTTAATTTGTTACGTATAATTTATTTGTTCAATTATTAGTTTTATTTCAAATCGCGCCAATTTACTTGTTACGTACATTTATTTCATAGATAAATGGGTTGAACCGTCTTGATTACCTGTAGCCATATGTTCTAAATGAATACCTTCTTAAAAATGTTACCCAATGATAAAATGTAAGGAATGTTGTCGTTGTTATTGCTAGATGGTATCTATCAGTAATTCTCACATTGTGTGTTAACGTGTCAAAGCGGGTATTAGTGTTAGAGAGAAGCATAACTTCTGTAGCTCAGTAGGTGTGCCATAATCAGATTGCGGCACTCGTAGAGCTTCGCCGTACACCTCGGCCGCTCCCACCAGCCGAGTGACCCTAATCATAAATATAGGCCAACACAATAGCTTTACCTTAATCTTAGGCGACACCTTCGATTACTTCAAATGTTATCAATTAAACTCACCTGGATTTATACTTTCCTTTAAATATTTATTATATTCTTGATAACGATCAATGTTCAATGTCTCAAAACTCTTTACAACTATAGAGGAAAGTTATAAGTTTGTTACTCACCTTAGGGTCGCATTTCGCGGGTGCCCCCATCGCACCTCATTTGAGTACGGGGGTAAATTCACATATCAGGTGTGTGCGAGGCAGATTCAGGATCACGTGGTGAGGCACAACACGCGACCGGCACTGGTGCGAGCGTACGGCTGCGGAACGGTCGGACTCGCGTATGCCAACGTATGCTGTTGTTGTTGTTGTCGGCGGGCTACTGACGGCCGGAGCGGCGGGGCAGGGCGCGAGGGACGCGGGCGCGGGGAACGGGACGCGGCTGCGCAATCTGCCGCCCTCCCGCTCAATACGATGGCCATGAAAATTTCAGCCGAGCTGTCAACCGGTGGCGGCACGCAGGTCGGCCCGGCGCTCGTACCTTCGCCCACGCTGCGCCGCGCCGAGCCTTGCACCCCCACATACCGCTATTTCTCATTAACCCACCGCTATGTCACTATTAAATTGCGAACACATTTTATATTTATATCACAAAGACGGCTTAAGCGGTCTCGTCCCTAAAGGCTAATTATAACTCATCTATTTCTCAACATCACGACATGAGATGTTTAGAGCATTTATGTGATAAGAATTTCAGGATACAGGGTACTTAGTCGTTCTTTTGAAAAAACCACTGAATTATAGATACGCCATGAAGTTATTTTCGCGATATAGTGTCTATTTTGGCAAAACAATAACAAACAACTGTTTTAAGCGCCAATATGTGGCCATGCAACGGCATCCAACTACCCTGCGTTTGGCGTAATCGCTTGGCAGCCATCCATCTCAGTGGTATGTACTCAACTGCTAAGACGCTGCATCCATTGTTAACTAAGATTGATGATAAATCAAGATTGATGGTCTGGATGTGGTAGAAGAAGCTGGTCCTAAACAATTTGCTACCGACTGGTATGAGACTTACTATTTGGTACCTTACGTCCGTCTATTATTAATACAGCTTTTATTTACTGTGTTTGCTCTCAGGTAAGTACCAGGGTTCCAATAAAACAAAAAACTAAGTATTATTAAGTTTTATTTCACAACTAAAACATGTTATTTAGTCGACACTGGTGGAAAACTATAAAATTACACAACTACAGTACACTTATTTACAAATAAAGAGAGTAGAGAATAGAGAATATAAATACCGAAAAATCATTAAAAAAATTACATACAACATTAAGGCATAATAATGTACAAGCCCATTTACTGTGGAATGATATTTTACATAAACCAGTGCCTAATACATACCTAAAATGTACAATATTAACACAATGAGTATAACACTCGTAAACATATAGGCACGTTGTTTCCTGAATCGTGTGAGTATCCACTTCGTAGGTTATATATAGTTTGTCGAACACATTATTTAGTATTAAGTTACGTGTACCAAATAGTTACTTCCTTAATTTAGTTATTCCAATAATACTAGCGAGTTATCAAGGTTTAATGCACATTAATTAATATAAAAATCAGTCTAACGTGAAATTTCCTATCAAACGAAAATAAAACATATTTAGAAATGCTTAAGGTTTACATTACAAACTAAGCATTGCTAGTTGTAGCGGAAACATAATAAATACAATACAAACCGGATTAACTACATATAAGAGTTTATATATTGATATATAAGGATACTAAGCACCCATAAAAGCTATAATAATATTGAGCTATAAAACTGTTCGTGGTATACATTTAAATTCCCGTTATTTACTACTTTATATATTAAGCACCTATGTACGTTAAAAAACTTCAAGATACCTTTTGTAGAACCTCGTAGACACTTCGAAAGATCATTTAAGAAATTCGGTTTGTTATGTTTAGTTTTAAAGCTTTATTCAAACATTCAGATTACAAACACGAGACAGCACCTTCCTAGCACATAGTTAATTTGCCTTTGGCTACGTTACATTCATAAACTACATGAGATTCTTATAACACATTTACATTCAATATATACATAGATTCATTTAATATTTAATATTCGAATAATATCACACTATAGGTAATATTTAATATCTTAAAGGTGGTACATTTAGATTTACAAAGCGATGAAATACGCGAATTTTTATTAACACATATTGTTGTCTCTGTTTATTCACAGACATTATTTAAAGACAGTGTAAGCGACGACAATATGTCACTACAGTTCAAATCCACAGACTGTGGCGACTCATTGAGATGGTTTCACACACAAATTAGTACCTCTCGACATATTATGAAAAATACTAGGAATAATCTCTATTATTAAGAATATTCCGTAACTTTCAAAGTACACTTAATTAAGGTATATTGTTTGCACGAAGCATAGTCTGAGCCTTAAGATTATTTGATGTCTCTTTATGTAATTTAAAAGATGTATGATTGCGCTCTAATGAAATTCTTGTTTCGGACGAAAAGGATTGTTGTGAAATATTCATGCTTCTTTTGCTTCGTTTTTTTTGTATTCAATTTCGTTTGTTTTTTGGTTTTCCGTTAGCTACAGGTTCTGCTTGCTGTGATTTACGTGGACGCAGTATGAAATTGAGATTATATGCTGTGTTTACTGCGTAATACACATTCGCATTAGCAGGGAGCACCATTTCTGAAACAAATATCATTAATTTGTCAAAAAAGTGTACAAGTTACCTACATTTTCGTTATTACTTTTTTAAAACTATGAAAGAATAAAAAATACTTTTGAATTAATCAACAAGATTGAGAAAAATTATATTTGATCAACTTAAAATTTAGCTATATTGTATGAATTTAACTAACCTCTATCTGGCAGGACCTGTGCAAGCGTGTAGGCGTCGGGGTCGCCGTCGAGGTTTAGCTTGAGCATGGCGTTGCGGATGACCTGCGGCGTGCGCTCGTTGTTGCTCAGCATTATCGACTTGTACAGCACGACGCCCTCCGTCTCCACACAATCTGATTCATACGTCACACGGATTATGTAGAAATCAGGACCGTTACGTGTATTAGCATACGCCGGACTGGTGGCAGGAGCTTTGCCGTTCGGCGGCTTCTGCCCACTGTTCGCGCTCGATAATGATACATCTAAAGATGGCAGAGACGAGGAGGAGGAGCCATGCGACAGTCTGGTGGGTGACGTTCGCCTCTCCAGGCTGTCTCGCTTCCAGGCGTTGGCGGCGCCGTCTGTTTCGCAGTAAAATTGCGAACTGTTACTAGAACTCGTGCTAGCGATGGAATCATTTTTCCTATGACACTGATTGTTGTTGTCGACGATTTTTCTCGGCCTCCTCTCTTTGGGGGGATTCGTGGGCGGTTCTATTTGACAAGAGAGTTGGTACGCCTCACGATCGTCGAGAATAATGACTGAATCGAACCATCTGTCGAACATCGCATCCGATGGTAAATGATAAGCATTTGCGGCGCCCTGTAACAATTTTATTTGCGCCAGCACTTCGAATTCTTTCCGGCGCTTGTCGAAATTTATCAAACCGTCCGCCACCGTATCGGGGATGGCGGTATCGATCATGGTGAGGTCTGTTAGAAATGTTCCTAAATAAGGTATGGTGCCGTGACTGACGCCGGGCGACCCGCGCTCGTGCAACAGCTTCTGCAGCTGACGATCGTTTTCACCGACCGTGTCTGCGAACTTCGCCGTCCCCTCGCGCATCAGAAGTTCCCTTTGAGCCCAACGGTTGTTGTCCTCGCTAAAAATTCGCGCCAATTCCTCAAACAGTTCCGATTTTTCTTTCGGAAGCAGCGCCCACGTTTTTCTTAACCTGTACACCGCGTTGCTCTGTAACCCGGAGATGATCGCTTTCAGCGATGAAAAGTTTTTAAGCACTCTTAATTCTCTCGCGATGTCAAACCACGCGGCCAGTATCTCCGCACGGTCGGCCGGCCTCAGGTTCGGCTCCACTAGAATGGTCGATATAACTCTAAAAGATACTGCATTAAATTGATTGACGGTGGCTAAAACGGTGGCGGCGTCGTGTGATCGATCCTTGTCTCTCCTCGACCATATGGCACCGAGACATTGATGAGGCACCAGCTTCTTGAACAGCTCCATGTCCATTCGTGTGAGTTGTTCGGCGAAGTGTCGGTGGGGCACGTGCGGCAGGCGGTAGGTGCTGGTGTGGTGCGCGGACAGGCGCATGCCCGGCGCCAGGCACACCCCGCCGCCCACGTGCGCACCGCCATTGCGCTCTGCACTGAACACAGCTAACTTCTGTAATACCTGCAAATGTTTTAATGTTCAGTATCGAACACTAGACGATAGTAACTATACGTAAGAGTGCAAATGAGAAAAGAACCTTCAAATGTAGCTCCGAGCCAGGCAAGTGAAGCTGAGTGAAGGCGAGTAGCTGCTGCAGTGCGGGGTGGTGCGGAGGTTGTCGAAAGTCCTCCGGGTAGGTGTCCAACCATACGTGGAGACATGCCACCAGAGTCCTAACAACGAAATTAGATTATTACAAGACGGAACTCGTGAAGGTCATGAAAATATATGATTTCCATGCGCAGGGTTATTAAGAGGAGGCTTAAATATTTGATATGTTGTAAAATGAAGCATTAGCAAAAAGAGTAGAGGTATACGGTGTGTTATGCTAGTTACTTTCGATGTTGGTGGGAGTGGTCTGCGCCGGGTGGGGCGGGGGCGTGAGCGGGCAGAGTGTCCTCCGCAGCGAGCGCCTCATACCGCCGCACGAGCAGATCCAGCACGCGGCTGCATTCCGCGAATGAACTGAAAACATTATAGCACTTTAATTAGATTTCTTATAAAAAAAATACCACTGCTTAGGGCTTTAGGTTAAATGATAAACGTAAAACAAGTTAAATTAATAATAATTTACGCTTTGTGCAACATAACAAAAGTCATTCAATGACGATTTGCTCCGATAGTTATACGATTAAATCGTAACTGGATCGATAAGTCGATAATCGATTATACTTTATTGAGAAGTCGTATTAACTAAATGAAAAACCTTTAAAAATGAAAATATGAAAAGAGAAAATTTTGAATAAATACAATCCATTTATAATAATTTTAACGCTCTTATATTTTTTTATTTTGGACTAGTATTACATACAATGGAACATGAAATTCTTAATATTTGGGCAACAGGAGTGAGCATTTTATAATTTACCGGTATGTGGCAAGGAACACGTTGACATAGGTGGATTCTAGCTCTCCGTCGTCGGTGGCCAGAGCCTCCACCAGCCGTTCTACGGTGCCCGCTTTCACGAAGCGTACGCGCACCGTCTCCCACTCCAAGTGCGAGATCTCGTCATCCGACTCCTGGAAGGAAATTGCCGAATGTGTTTAACAAACGTTTGCTGATAGATTGTTGCAGTGTTGATCAATTTGTGCTCAGCTTCAATTGTTCCCAATGAAAACGGACAGGATGAACAATCAAGTAATTTAACATTCTATTGATAGGTCGAAGTGTATTTATTTTAAAATGGCAAGTTCCTTGTTTAATTTTAAAAAAAATAACAAGGAACTTGCCATCTTAAAACGAACTTGCCATCCATTCCTTTAGATTCGTAGAAACAAAAAACAAGTGTTATTATTATATTTTTTTTAAAGGAATCTCCCCACCGGTTGTACAAATTTGACTTAAGTTGATGACTGAATAATTGTAGGAAATAAAAATTTAAAATAAACAGAGCATGGGAATACGACTATAACAAGAAAAAAACAAACAATTCTTGACATTGTAAGTACAAATTATTTTTGATCATGAATCATGGCTAATGACGACTGACCGAGATAATATGTATAGTACAATGAAGTAACCACAGATGACTAGTAATAAGTATGAATTTATGTGAAAAACATGTTACACATAATATATTACCGTCTTTCTCAGAATGTTTTAATAACAATCGTCAGCAAAAAAAATATTGTAATGACAAATTGAAACCAATAAAAAAAATTGCAACCAATAAAATTATAATATGAATTATGTATTATTTAATAAAGATAATTTATTTTAAGGCAGAAAATGTATTCAATTTTTTTTAGAAAGATATAAAAGTAGACTTACACTGGAAGCACTCCTAGTAGGTCGATGGTATCGAACTTTCTTCAAATAAACGGTGTATATCGCGCCGTCCACACGCTCCTCGCCCCACAACCGCCATGTCGGCTGCTGGAACATATTACCAATTCCTTAATACATGTCAACATGACAAAACCAACATTATGTACTAGAGATACCTTACAAATACAAAAACGAATTTATAAAGGACACAATCTACTATGTTACCGATCATCGTCATATAAAATCTATAACAAAGATACAAAAAAGAAAAAAAAACTGTTCATCATTGATTTCTGTGGCGATAATATATGTAATGTAAACTAATACTATACTACTGTAATACTATCGGATGAATATAATTACATAAGGCTTTATATACGCCATATTGACTACACTCAACATATACCACTTCCTATTGTTTCTATTTTAATACTGCAAGTACTTAGTATTATGAGAGAAAAACAATATAAAACTAAATTGCAACGTAAATAGCAGCAGCTTCGTTTACGATACGCCCAGGACGAGCAATCGATAAGATCAATGACGTACAAAATGTGCGCGTAAGCTTGCTACTTTTCTTGCAAGAAATTAACCAATCCTTGAAGCTTTCTCGGTACAACAATAGGGTATAAAAGATTGGAATAAACATTATTTGGTTGTTTATAGAATAACGGTACAAATAACGACATACTCAATAACGATATTTCAACAAAAATACTTCGGATAGCAACGAAATCGATTAAAGTCACAATGAAAATAATGTAAGCGTTATCAAACGCATTTTAGTTCTTGTGGTATTTCAGAGCAATGTAAAGATCCACTTGTTAAAACATATTAACGCTTTTTCTAAAGAAAATAATGTTAGGAAAATTTGTATTATATTTTTTTAATATCATACTTTAAGAATAATTTTATGTTGAATTTCGTCTTTAAAACTTAGCAAGGAATTGTCGTAGGGAAGGTAATTATTAAATGTTTCATAACTAAAGTAAATAACCAATTGATTCTCTTACAAAATCATCATCGATTGCATCTGCAAAATGTACGGGCTGGACTTTGCTGACGCCGCATATTCTCCACATGGCCACTGGCCCATATTGTGTGACGTCACGTCTGCCCAGCTGAGCGCCACATTACGAATACTTTCACTGCTGCGTTACCATATCAAGTAGATATATCATACAAATCCGATTCCAATCGGCTTAATCGAAATCAAAGCGAATCGCTAACGAGCACGAGAGACGCGCGAACGTGCGTGACGACGGTGAAATCAGACGCGACACACTTGTAGACGCAGCTATCCGCAAACCGGCATCACTGATATTCCGGACCCAGTGATTACGCGATTTCGATTCCGATTAATAGATGCAATACACAGCGAGTCGATTATTTGATTCACAAATATGCACACTGATCAACAACACTTTAAAATGAGTTAACCGGTAGCTTTCCTAAGTGTATCGAGTGTCTAACAACTTCCTCATATATGTAACACTATGTTAAAATGTTCTTTATGACATCACAAATTTGCATGTTATTCAAACGAATTTATATTAGTGAATTAATTATACAATGCATTTCTAATCACAACACACTTTAACTATGTTGTAAACACGACACTAATGAACATAACTTTTATGTGGGCATGTTTATTTAAATTAATTTACTATATACAACGAGGAAAATGCTTAATATGGGGAATAGAGACGCGGTTGTAGAGGCGTGGACGCAATACGACTGTTCTCTCGCGGAGAGATCGCGTGAAAAACTGCGATGGAACACGTCAGAGACACCGCCAATTGCCGCGGAATTACCTCAATAACATACCAACACATACATACATACACATCAGGTGAGCTCAAGATCAATTAAATATTTTACACACGTGCTTATAGATTGAATTAGAATGTATAATCAATAACAGTTAGAAAATAACCTTTCACTACAATATTAAATTAAGAGTATAACATTAACACATTTACACGAAACTTTGAGTTATGCACCTAAAATATCAAAGATCCAAGCATAGAAATTTCTACGAATCGTAATTAAATTTACGTTATATCAATATTCCTATTAACAAAACAAAACTTTTACATTGAACGTTGGTTGTGAACGTTTTCATTTACGTTATAAATCACGTTTATGCAAACATAAATGGTTGACGACTAATAAAATTGACCACAATTTGTTACAGCTGGAATAATACAAATAAAAAGGTTGTGCAAGACGTAGTTTGTTCAACGACGCGTCCGGAGCCGCCAGGGCGCCTCGTGACCTCTGTTAACCTTTCACAAATGTAGGGTTGCCATTTATGAAATCAGGAACCCTAAATAACGAGCATTTAGATACATTTTATACGTTCTATTAATAAGGTATGTCTAAAATTAGCACAGTTTTCAAAAGTCTTGCGACTAAACGTGAATAATATATTCCTATATTCTTATAATACAATCTCATAATCATCCGATGCAATCCACGCTCTACTAAATTTGCTTACTAAGGTTTTTTGGGCTTAGAGTTTATTAGAAAGATAAGACCACTGAACAGTCAGGTCCGTCTTTGACACAAAAACATTTTTAAAATAATTTTTGTTTCTAAAGAAGCAGATATAATATAAATTATATTTTCTACCAGCAGCTTGTCGGGAGGCAATGTAATTAGTATTAGTAACTAGGCAATATTCATTGAGTAGTGTTTAAATTAATAATACTTAAAAATATCACCATTCATTCACCTTCATCGCCACCATAAGCCTTGGTATTTTTAACAAGTAAAATGAAAGTCAAACGACGTAAAATAGAAAAAAAAGGTGTTAGAATAGAACAGTCGGTTTTTTGTCGTAACATACGCAGCGTTCTCTCATGTTTCGCTGCGTTGTTTTGTTTGTGACCCGGCTTTCGTTTAATTGACTGTGACTGCTTGTGCTACTGATCTTGGCGTTAAATTACACTTCGATTGTCTTTTCGCAACAATGCCAAGTAAAAGATTGCAAACTGCCACATAACACCGAAAGTTGGACAAGACAAGTATTGAAATACGAAGTTTATGTGTGATTAAAAAAGGACTGTAAGAATAAACTACTGTTTAACGTTCCGAACATTACCGTCAAATACCAGACGTCTTAATATACTAATAAAACAAATATCAATGAAGAAAAATCCTTCTCTTCTTGCAGAAGAAAACTTTTTATATCACTTATTCCAAAACGTAGTTCTGAAGATAATAGTAAATAGTTTACTATAAGAAATATTGTATAAATAAATGGTAATTTGAACAAAGAACAAACACAGATAACAACATAAAACCATTTCCCCTTCCGGTTGCTGTCAAGGGGGTTTACTACTCAAAGATACATTTGTATGTGTATATACGTAGATTTAAAATCATTACAATAAGTATTTATAAAAAAAATGGTTTTATATAGTTCGATCATGTTTATACCATTTTCAAATTGTAATGTTAAAAAACAAATAATGCTGTATGTATGTCAATATGAAATTTTACTTAAAAACTAAACAAGAAATATTTCAGTTCCAGAATAAACAACAAACTTTAGAAGAAAATATTTAAGTAATAAATCGGCATGAAAGCTTTCTGTACGCCCACGTAGTGAACATAGTGGAAAAAATTTCCCGATACCTTGTATCGATCCAGACGTGCAGAGGTATCGTGAAGTTCTAAAAATAACCATAGAAATTTTCTCCGTCCTTCGACTATCTACTTCTTACGCTCTAGTCTTAAACAAGAAGGTAATTCTTTTACAGCAATTTTTCAAGAAGGAATATCAAGAAATTCAATTTGTATTTATAGTAAAATAGACCTTTCTAAGGGTTTTATCCTCGTAGTAAATGTATAGGTTTATGTATATTTTAACAGTGAGAAGACTCGATTGTATACAGGTAAATCTATTGCTGCGTCGTAAAGCGTGTGGTATTGACATATTAAAGCACTTTAATTTTTTTGTTTTGATAATTTTGAATTATAAGATATTCATTTCAATGTGAATGTAGTTAAATTAGTTTCATTTTCATTGCGACGTACGTTTGGGCCATACACAAGCAATTACGAAACGAATGATATGGAAATATGAATTTACTGGTTTCTCGTAAAGTAAAAAAAATAAAAGCATTTCACGTCAAAGATTTCTTTCAGTAAATAACAGTTTAAGCGATAATTACAGACGCCATATGTGATGTTTATAGTAAAAGCGAGTTCGTTTGTAGTGTGCAATTTATGCCAGCCCCGACAAAAAGCCGTCGCTCCCCTGACCATTAAAAATAATAACGGTACTTGTGACGATAAAAATATTATGACATTGCTTGTGACGTAAAAGGATGTTCCTTTTTTTTCCTAAACTTTTAGTTTTAATGTATGCAAAAAATTGTAAGGTCCTAGAATAAATGGCGGCGGAATAACATCACCAAGGTTGCCAATTTCTTTCCTTTCAATGTAAATAAAAATACCTATTATACTTTGACTATATATGTATAGGAGTGTGCTTTACATAAGATCATTAATTAGTTTTACCACCATATTGGTACAATTAAAAATGTATTGTTACGATAATAAATTTAAAGCGTAATTTAAGTACAACTTAAAATAACATGTCGCAGGGAGTCCGTTGGCGTGCATGGCGCGTGACGGATTCGCTCCGGCGCAGCGCCCTACGCAATGATCACTCCGGAAGTACTGCCAGCAATTGACCAATACAACTGTGTCCCATAGTATATCTATAGACCTAACTACAAACAAATACCACACAGATATATCAGTATTCGTAATTCAGTGGGCTGGCACTTACGTCGAACGACATAAGATTATCACCCGAGAATCGAGAATCCTATATACTTATTTCCATGAGTAAACCGCCAACCACTTCCATGAGTAAGGCTGGACCTGTCGCAAAAGTAAACTTACAAAATACTATTCACGACTGTACTTTTAGATTATTGATGTATTTATTTAAATACATTTTAAACTTACATCATAAAATTAATTTTATTCTATTACTGCTTCCTCAGCTGATAACTCTTGAGAAACTTATTGTTTCATTGTGTTAAGATTTTTAATCATTTACATAATAATTTTATAATTAAAATAATCGCAGACACCAGGAAGCAGCTCTATACTGTGTCAATTTCAAATTCAAAATCAAATATTCGACTTTAAATGTTTGATATGAAAAAGCTATTAAAAACGTAACACGGTAAAAGATGGAAGTGCTGCACTTAGAAAGCTAGAAAACTTACCTGTTTTAATATGTATGGGAGGTAGTCTAGTGGCTTCCTAGAGAAATCTTTTACATCACATTATACTACTATGAGAAAAGATGCAACTCCTAGATAATCCCGTACATATTGAGAAAAGAGAACCGTCAATACACAGGCAGTTCTTGGTATTCTCATTTTCTTTAAACAACTCATTTTCTATATCTCAAAATGACTGTAATATTAAAATATTGGAAAAATATGAAATAAAAACTATTTTTTTGTATGTGCTAGTTTTATCTTAAATGTCAAAGAACTAAATCTTAAAATTTTTGCGGAGTCAACTATTTCAACGAATAAACAGTTCTCATTTGCATTTTTATTGATATTTGACTAGATTATATTTTAACTCTAAAACGAGTCAGAAATTGGAAGTGACGCAGGTTCGTCGCCCTCGATACCTCAGCAGTAATCGATATTAGAACCATCATAGTTGGACTCGATTGCCACTTACTCAGTCGTGGACGTTCATCTAAGCTATTAGTTCAAAGTTCCACCGATGTATTTATTATTTGAATAAACACATAATACCTTCAAATATTCGTTGGAATGTTTGATTCGCGTTCCAATTACAGGTATGGTATTGATAAATAAAGTATCAAATTACGTTAATACAATATCATATTTACGTGTTATTATGCGACCGACATTCCGACATACGCTCTGAACTGTAAAAACACCACTGATCGTTTATACTTAAAAATCCTTTATGAATTTCATGTTTTCATGAAGCTGTATCAAATGTGTAAAATTTATTGTGTATTCTTGGATTTAAAATGTTTTTTTTCTGCTAACATTGTTTCCATTGTCCTGTAGCACAGCACAGGCGATTTTATTGCTGGATAAATAATTATTGTGGATGTAGGTATCTAATATTGTAAACTTGATAAAGCAGTGTGCTTCAGTTACACGTTCCATAATAACTGTAAAACCTATAACACTTTAGTGTGTGGTTTAAGTACACAATTGGTATTAGTAACACGGTCTAAAACTAACGCGAGACAAAGGCCATCATTGCACCGGGCACCGCAATTAGTATGTACTTACCGCTGATTCACTCAATTACACGCTTCGTATTGCAACGTTAAATCAATCGTATTGATGGAAAATTTAAAAACAAATTGTCAATCTACCAAGAATATTGTTATTTTGGTGGATAGATACATAAGTTATTTAGTTTAGATAATATCAATAGATGAGAGAACAATTTCTTTGTGTACATTAATTGTAATGCAAACTGCATCAGCTATTCAATGAATAGAGTATTAAATCAGTGCTAGTGACTTATTTAAAAGGATATTATATTAATTAGATTTAAATTAAAAAGTTATAAATTACATAAACTAAAGACGCTTCATCATTTAGAAAGCAACCTAAATGTTATGTAAAACTTGGCAATAGCATGAAAATTAAGAGTTTTTCTTTACATCTGCATGTTTTTCTGGCAATGACATAAGATACTAACTTA